ATCACTCTTGGCTAGTAGAAAGCTGCTGTTAGCTTTGTACCGTCAGCATCATTTATTGTTGGCTGACATCAAAACCGTTTGTCAGAATACAAAAGTTAGTATCTAACAAGTGAAATCCCACGGGACTTCAGCGTGACACTTGTTGGAGGGAAACGCAGAAGAAGAAATTGTTGCAGGAAGTGTGAAAATCGGAGAGTAGTGTGTGAAGACATGGACATTTTTGAGGGGGAAATAAACTTTTTTTTCGCGAAGGCATTATCTCCGTGATCGATCTTTCTGGGCTTTCGGTGAAGCGAGTGGCTGGAAAAACAGGTAGGCGACAGTACTGTTGTACGGTTTCTGCACAACGTATGAGTTGAAAAGGCATGTTGTTGTCACGCAAGGGCACTGATCATGTTGCACAGACATTTAATTACATTTGGTGTCTGTTAAGAGGAGCAAAAGGCACTCTTTAGGATATGCCCCCCAAGAAGTGTTATAACTAACTGGGAGCTCTGGCCATTAGCTGCAGGATCTCCAGTTTGGCTAGAACCCAATTCTGGTCGTATGCCAATTCTGGTCGTTCTTTTTCCTATCGACAGTACTTGGGGACCTCTAGTGATCAAGACTAGGGTAAAAATCTGCCGAAGTTCCCCTTTAAAATTAAAGGAACAATGGGTAAAATATTTACTTTATTAAAAAATAAGATTACACTAATATGTCATCAGACTCTAAGTAAACAGGTTAAACTGAAATACTGTTGAGAATGTATATTCTCATTTTATATTCTGGTGCAGAATTTCTCTTTATATTTTGTCCTGTGTGACTGCGCTGACTGCCTGTTTGGACACCGGATTGCCAGGTATGAACATACGCAAGCACAGCGAGCTGCAGCCATGGCAGCAATCAGTGTATCCGCAGAGATAATGTTGGAGTTGTCTGACCTAAACAGCCTCTGCATCTGTATAAAGAGCTCCATGACCAGAGACGTGGTCAAACATGGGTAAATGTTGGAGATACATTTGAAAGATGGAGACAGCTTTGTATCAGAAAGGACTTCAGGACTTATGTGGAGTTGTGTCTGTAGTGTATGGGACAGACTGTTGTTGTTTACTACCTTGACAACAACCAACATGACAGAAATATACAACAGAAACACAATTTTGTCTGTAAATTGACTCAATTGGCAAATGTGATTTATAGTATATAGAGTAACATAACTCATGCCCATCACTAGCTGCTAGCTATTTATCTATCTTATCTTATAGAAACCATCTGTAATGTACAGTGTACAGACCAGCTGCTTTTAGTAAATGATTTTGTAGAACAACAAGCATATTTATTCATCAACACAGGAAGTAATAAACTCAGACGAAATGATCAACTTTATGGCAGAAAGGGTTTATGTTTATTTTTCCAGGAGCTGTGGCCAGGACTGCTCACCATATGACAAAGGAACACAACAGGACTGCATTAACACAATGGGACAAAGTACTGGCTCATAGAAGGCTCATGAGGCTCTGACAGACATTATCAGAAACAAGCAGTGGCTGAAGAGAGTTCATAAGTACCTGAACTCATTTGTGTGTTTGTTTTTGAACAATGAGAATACACAGCTAAATAAATGCCCATGACTGTATGTTTTCACAGATCTCCAGCTGGTCTTGAGTATGTGCAGAATCACACACTGATGTATGATTCAGCTCTCCAGCTTTTGAGGCCAGAACCCTGCTCACAGTCCTGAACTACAACGACCATAAGGACCAACCAGAATGGACGAAACCTGATGGAAGCAAACACTGAGTTGGATTGTTTTTAGGCTATATTAACATGCTTGTTGCACAACACAATTAATCTTATATGATCTAGTGGAGAGACGTGAAGATGACAGTTAATGAGGAAACTATACAGATTTCTTTTCTACATCTCTTCTAAAAAATAATTAAATAATGAATAACTAAATAAATAGTTATTACTGATCTCTCTGTATCATTAGTCTACTCATACAGCGGTTAGTTTTATCACTACTGTAACTTATTTTCCCCAACCATTATCAACAACTCCATTTCATTACAATCCCATCTTGTTAATCCCTTTTGTGTGTATGGACCTCTGGCTGTATTGCTCTGTAAATAGAAAATTTATACATGATTAATAAAGTTGTTGATAACTTTTAATGTGGTCTTTCTTTCATCAACTCATAACGCTCACCTTAACTGATGTGGTCATTTTGCAAAAAATAATTATTACGGTATTATTGTTCACAAATAACTCAACTACAACGATATGATGATATAAAATCTAAATATAAAGTTAGAGATAATTACTAGTATGAGAAGGGATACAAACACTTATAGGGACCACCTTGACCTCCACTCCCTACATGACTACATGCTCTTATTTAATGTAAGCAATTAGTTGAATATGGATATAATGTATAGGAGACGCTATAGGAATGCTTGTTGAAATATCCTGCATATAACATATCTTAAGTTACTTCTTTATCAGTAAGTTGTTCGAAGAGTATTAAAGATACATATTCAAAACTCCAATGCAATTCATATAGCTATAAATACATACAGATGTTTGGTGCATTTATAAAAAATCCATGGGCCTTATTTTTCTTATGTTTCATGTATTAAACTATCTCACTTAGAATAAAACAAAGCAGATCTCTACTTAATCTCTATACTTCTATTCATGCACTTTTATCTTAACTCCCTCCCTGCTTTTATAACTCCTCCTGTCACTTGGTTTTTCAAACTGTCTCAGTTTTTCACACACCAGTATATAGCCTATGAAATATCTTCTGCTCTTTCATGCTTTGTGCTGGCTGCCTTCCCTTTGGCATAGTTAGCTGTCTTTACCCCCCTGCCCCCAACTCTCTCATATTCTTAAGTAATTCATTGAAATATAAGGCATGATAGGGGGAGGTTTTACCAAAGGTTTGCAGGGGTCAAATTCTGCCTCATTTACATATAAGCTATGACAGTAAAGTTCCTTGAGCCCTGAGGCAATATGGGATATTAGATGTATGTGTGCTGTAACCCAGGGATAACATGTCCAGAAAGTCTAGGTTGAAAAGAGATGTATCAACACATACATACAAGATAGATATAAAATATTATAATACAAATAAAGACTGTTGTTACTATTGTGGGCTAGTATCAGTATCAGAAAACCATTGTCTATCAAAGTGCTTTCCAAGAAGGTGCTTACAAAGCAGAAAGAAACATCAACAGTAATAACAAAACATAATGAAAATAAGGACATACTTAAAATCACAAAATAAGAGCAATAGAGCCTAAGAGAGAATGTCAGCCACATTAAAAAGCCAATGAATATAAACAGGTTTTGAGATGAGACTTGAGAATTTGGACGGATTTAACTGATAGCAAATGGAAATGCAGTCACTGCAAAAGCCCTTTAACCACCAGTCATAACCAAGACCCCCAAACTCAACAACATATATGTAGTTTGTCATTGCTTTCCACAGACTGGTGCCACTGCTATGGTAAAGGTTTGAATAGTTCAGGCACTGAACCTGCTTGGTTAATGTTAGGGAAAGATGGCAGTCATGGTTGAAATGTATTGATTCCTTGAAAGTTTGGAAGGTCCTTATCAGTTATAAGTGTCTTTACTAGGCAGTGGTAAAAACTCTTCTAGAGCTATTATTGTAGCAAAACTATTTACAAATGTGAGTGGAGAGTTGTGTAACTGTATCTCAGTCCGTGTGTGTGTAATCAGATTTGTAAATGTGTAAAAGAATGAACAACAACAACAATTGTATTCTGATTTGCAAATGTATTGAGATTTGTAAATATGTAGACAAATCTGTAAATGTGTACAGAGATCTGAAAATGTGTGGACAAATGTGTAACTGCAGAAATATACATATTAATGGCTGAGAAGTTTTTGTTTCAAGAGAAATACA